AAAAAAAAAAGATAATGTGCTCTAGTTGGAGTGAAGTGAAGAAGATGAGATAGTTTGAGGAAACTGGAGAAGGGAAGAAGCAAATTATTCCTACACCTCACCTTCTCTGCTGCTAGGTCAATGGTTCTGGTCTAATTAATTTGATAATCTCATTAAAATATGGACACTTTACCAGAAAAATGAACCTATATAAATTCTCCAGTTTTGTACACATTTAGAGGGGTTTCCTTAATGCTATGAAGCCTCTTTGTTAATTCCATGTTAAGGAAAATTGTAAAATCTCTGATATTTCAGTGACCAGTGGCTCTGTCCTCATTACTATATTTAAAAAGCGCATTGTTCCTTTTTACAATCTAGCTTATTTTTATAACATTTTTATTGAGTTTAATTCATATATTGTACTCTCATACATTAAATACAATTCAGTAGTTTTAGTATTTTTCACAGAGCTGTGCAGCCACCACCACAATCAATTTCACAACATTTCCATCACCCCAAAAAGGCAGCCATATGCTTAACAGTCACCCCATACTGGGGGTGGCTCTAGGCAACACTAATATACTTTCTGTCTCTGTAGATTTGCTATTCTAAACATTTCATATAAATGAAATTACACAGTACGTGGTCTTTTGTGTTTGGCTTCTGCCACTTAGCACAGTGTTTTCAAGGTTCATTGATGTAGCATATATCAGTACCTCATTTCTTTATATTTGTTGAATAATATTTTGGTGTGGATATATCATATTTTATATTTCCATTCATTGGTTGATGGTTTTGATTGTTTCTATTTTGATTGTTGCTATTTTGGCTGTTATAAATAATGCTGGTATGGACATTTGTGTATAAGTTTTTGTGTATAGATATGCTATTATTTCCCTTGGGTATATACTTGGCTGTGGAATTGCTAGATCATACAGCAAATCTATGCTTAATCTTTGGAGAAACTGTGGCTAGAACAAAGACCTAAATGTAAGAGGTAAAAATATAAAACTCAGAAAAAAACCTAGGCATGAAATTTGCTGCACCATTTTGTATTCTCATTACAGTGTTGTGAGGGTTCCTCTTTCTCCACAACCTTGCTAATGCTTCTTATCTGTCTTTTTGATTCCAGCCATCCCAGTGGGGGTGAGGTGGGTCCATGTGGTTGGTTTGCATTTTCCTGACGCCAAATAGTATTTTCTTGTGGTTATTGGTCATTTGTATATCTCTTTGGAGAATAGTATATTCGGATCTTTTGCCCATTTTTAAATTAGGTTATCATATAGTTTAAATTATTGAGATGGAAAAGTTTTTATATATTCTAGATACAAGTCTCTTATCAGATGTTATTTAAAGATATTTTCTCCCATTTTGTCAAATGTCTTTCACTTTAATAGTGTCTTTTGAAATACAAGTTTTTAATTTTTGTGAAATCCAATTTATTTATTTGGTTGGTTGCTTGCAATTTTCTTATCATATTTAAGAAATGATTCCTTAGTCCAATTTCACAAATATTCACTCCAAGTTTTCTTTTAATAGTTTAATAATTTTAACTCTTACATGTAGGCCTAAGATTCACTCTGAGTCAATTTTTGCTGTAGTGTGAGGTATGGGTATAACTTCATTCTTTACATGTGCATATTCAATTGTCCTAGTACCATTTGTTGAAAAGACTATTCATTCCCCATTGAGTGATCTTGGTATATTTATTGAAAATCAGTTGACTACAAACACGAGGATTTATTTTTAGATTCTCAATTCTATTTCATTGATCTATATAGCTTTTTGTATGCCAGTATAACAGTACTTTTTTTTTTTTTTTGTGAGAGAGCATCTCACTCTGATTGCCTAGGCTGGAGTGCAATGACATGATCTTGGTTCACTGCAGCCTATACCTCCTGGGCTCAGGTGATTCCCCCATCTCAGCCTCCTGAGTAGCTGGGATTACAGGTGTGTGCCACCACACCCAGCTAATTTATTGTATTTTTAGTAGAGACAGGATTTTGCTATTTTGCCCAGGCTGGTCTCCAACTCCTGGTCTCAAGCCATCCGCCTGTCCTGGTCTCCCAGATTGCTGGGATTACAGGAGTGAGCCACGCACCCAGATGGGGGTAACTTTTATGTGAGCTTTGAAATTGGAAAGTGTCAGTTCTCCAGTTTTGTTCTTTCCTAAGATTGTTTTGGTTCTTAGCTATTTTAGTTATATAAAGTTCCATATGAATTTTATGGTAATTTTGTCAATTTCTATTAAAAAGATAGCAAATATTTTGATATGGATCACTTTGAATCTGCAGATCAATTTGGAAAGTAATGCATTTTAACAATAATATTAAGTCTTCCAGTAGATGAACATGGGATGTTTTTCCATTTATTTAGATCTTCTTTAATTTCTTCTAACAAAGTTTTGTATCAGCTAGCTTAATTTTGGTAGGCTATTTGTACATAACCACTGATTTTTCAAATTCACTTAAACAGAAGGGAATATTAGTGTTGATTTATAAGTGCTCTACTCTCCTTCCTGGCCTTGGTGTAATTTTGAGTTGATAAGCTTAGAAAACTGTGTAAAGCTGTTACCAATGGACATGATTACCTTTGTCTAGCAAGTACACCTGTTGAGAGGGTCAGGTTTGTCTTAGTGCAGTTGATTACATATTAGGCATGCCACAGGTCATGTGGAAATTATAACGACCTTATTAAATTAATGCTATTCTAGAGGATTGAATAGGAAGAAAGTTTTTTTATATGTTAATTACTCCCTGTAGTCAATATTTTAAACTGTCCCATAGTTATGGTCAATTTTTTGTCACCTTTTTTCCTCATCTTATACCAGTCTTAGTTGCCTTTGAAGTGCTTTGTGCTTCCACTCTCCATTTTATTATTAATGGCAAAAACTGCAATGACTTTTTCACCAACCTAATATAAGAACTCAAATCATTCAGTCCCTTGTCCTAAGCATCTTTATTGCCCATACTCTCTCCTTCATCCTGTATAAGTGGCTAATGTCCAAACTCTCTGTCTTCATGTCTGCAGTGTCTCTTCAATTGCTATACTCTTATTCATTCCTGTGCTTCTTTGGATTCATTCAGTTCTTTGTCCTAAGCATCTCCATTACCCTTACTCTCTCCTTCATCCTGTATAGGTGGTTAATGTCCAAACTCTCTGTCTTCGTGTCTGCAATGCTGCTTCAATTTCTGTATTTTTATTCATTCCTGTGCCTGTTTCCTAGATCAAGTTGTGTATTACCTCACATCTGGAATACAATAGTGGCTGGCCCCATCTTGTCTTTGTCAGTCTGTTCTCTTTCTCCATAATCTTGGATGTGCTACCATGTTTTGCACATTTCTAAGTTCATAATGAGTCTGCAGGCAATATTAACAATATTAAGTCTAACTACATTCTTTTTTTTTTCTTCTCAGACGGTCTTGCTCTATCACCTAGGCTGGAATGCAGTGGCGTAATTGTGACTCACTGTAGCCTGACCTCCTGAACTCAAGTGAT